TGTTGCCTTGTATAAAAATTTAAATAAAAACTTAGTATTTTATATTCCAAACTTTTTTATCGTTTTTATAAAAATACCTATCATCTCTACTTTTATTCTTCATTTAGTCATATAGAAATTATCTCTATCGAAATCCCCTTCTCAGTAAATAAATTCTGGATCACTTCAAAGTGAATTTCTCTCAGGTAGCTGGCTGTAATTGCATGGTTCAGGAAATTTGTATTGACATGGGCAAATTTGTTGTACCTCCAGGATACATATACTTTACAGAGACCCAAGGGATAGCTAAGTTTCATTTTTTTATTGTTGTAAAAAACTGTGGTACCTTTTTTGACTGCTCCATACTTATTTCCATCTAACCTTGGAAACCCATACTCGATAATTTTTTGCTGTATACTTGAAGTTATATCGGTAGGAAAAATATCCATTGCATAGTTAAACAAGAGGCTATTCATCATAACAACTTTTTCTTCGTGCAAATACTGCTGGCTTGTTCTTTGTAACTCTTTCAGTATATTGAAAACATGTGTAAAAATTCCACATTCCCTTGTCAACAGGTATCTAAAACTTGTTATCAATACTGCTCAAGTATGAAATTAAACATATATAAAATTTATATACCCAGCAGTTACCAATGCTCCTTTATTAAGTTTCAATATATCATCAAATCGGGCAACCCTTCTTCATAGTTGAAACATTTCTAGTACTGTACCTTACATGATATTTAAAACCTCAAGTCCAATTCAATTATGATATACAGTAAGCACCACCTTGCTTGAATCTTTGTCACGAATTATAATTTTCTCATTTTTTTTTATTATATTCAGCAAGCAAGAGGCAACATCAATGGCTTGTACATGTGAAGGCAGCGGATTTACTTTTTTTGTACATCCATTTTTCTTTGATTTTTTTTTTTGTTATATCCAGATAGGGGCTTAGGAAATATCGTTTTTACATCATGGGTATTGGCAAAGTGTTTTTGTGTTATCAGGTTCTTCCTTACCTGAAATATAATGGTGTTAACTTGATTTTTTATTTTTAAAACTTTTTGAACTTACAAAATTTTTATGTGTTTTTATTTTATTTTTTTTTCAATTCATCGATGTCTGCTTTCAAAACAGCTGCAGTTTCTATATCATCGGCATGGCAATATCTCAGGAACCTCACAAATTCTCTCCACCAATTTTTCTAATTTTTTATTAGCATTAATAAAATATATACAGCAAGTACATATACCTTGATATATTTACATTTGAAAAAGAATTGATATTAGAATCAGACATAGCCAAGCGAACACTTGTTAATTTGATGGAAGGATTTTGCAAGCAGGCAGCATACTCCTTTGAGTTATCGTTTTTCAATGGCACAAGGAAATGCAGAGTAGCAGTATAAATTTCTATGTATATTTAAAAAACAGGTATTAGCTATATACTGTATATACATGTACAACTTGCCAGTGCAACAGGGAACCAAAAACCTTGCTGCAAGTTAAATTGTCAACAACCCTACTTGCAGTCTCAAATGCCTGCTTAAATGTTCGAGAGCCCTGCTTTAGTTCAGGGTTTCCCACTGGAGGCAGCAGCAGCAATGTAGCAGTTTAAGCTTGCCTAGCATTTTATCGACAAAATTTAATATATTAGTTCAGGGTTTCCCACTGGAGATAATATCGAACTTTATTGATAGCAGCTAGTTGCAATTTTACGAAGAACAGTCTATAAGTATTAGTCCAGGGTTTTCTACTGGAGGCAACTTTATAGACTTGCCAGGTAAAAGGCTCTTTGATTTTTGTTCCCCCCTTTTGATCGATTTATTCACCATTAGCTGCGACCTGTTTCTGTTTCTTCAAGACATGCATCATATTTTCTGTATCAGTGTTTTAGAAATAAATATAAAAGTATCAGTAGCAACAATATACCAGTGCTTTGTATTTACTTGGCTGCAAATATGATAGGAGCAGAGAATCGGTATAGAGATGTGGTCGATAGTTGTGGTGTCAGGTTATTTGTCGATAAAAGATGCTAATTAAAGTAATCGAAAAAGGTGCCAGTTTATTTAGTTGAAAAAAAAAGAACCAGGTATACAGTTGCAGTAAAGCAAAGGAAGTTAATGTAGTAGTTGTAAAAATATCAACAAGTGATAAAAATTTATCTTCAATTATAGCTGTGGTGGCAGACAGCTATATATATTTAAATAAAATTGATTATTTAGCCAATATATATAAAACTTAAAGATGGCAAGTAAACATTAAGTAGGGAAAAACGAATAAAAAAAAAAAAAAAAACACGATTAAAAAAATATCAAATTAATCGAATGGATATGGATCATATAAAAATAAATCTGTTTGAATACGAATCGGATCAAATAAAAACTGATCTGATCAGATTTGAATCAGATTAACCTAAAATTCGATTCGATCTGATCCATTGCGATCCCTAGATGCATCTTAATACAACAAATATAACATGTATCCAAAACTCATCAACAAAGTTGTATTCTATACAGCCAGTTACTCCACATGGATTGACAAAATAATAAACAATAGATCAATACCAAACAACAAACAGATAAACAACTAGTAGAATATGTGTTTACTCTATATTGATTAACCAAAATATAATAACAATGGATAAACTTAAAAGTTTGACACCAAAACAATATATTTGGTAAACAAGTAAACAAAAGTAAATCTGTCAAAACAATAGATCTAATAACAAAACACATGATATAATATAAATAATACAGTAGCAAGTATGAATAGAGCTCAACGAATACTGCAAATAGTAAACAAAAAAGAAGAAAACATAGCTGACACCTTAGTCAAACTTTCACAAAAACATGATGAGCATTCAAAGCTATGGGCCTCCCAACAACTACTACAACAAATAGAAATCAAGTCAAAAGAAGAAGTAGCTGTATTACCTGAAATATATACAGTCTTAGACAGTATTATTGCCAAGATATTGGGAATTAATGAAACAATCTTTCACAAAGAACGAATCTTAACTCAACACTTACTATATCTTTGGCAATTAGGAAAAGGCAATGAAAAAGATCTTCTTTAACCCTATATAGAAGATAGATTTTTAGAAATTATCAAAAATTTAGAAGAAATATACAGACTCAAATCTCAATCAATAGATATTATCGAATATATAGACAGTAAATCAACAATAGATAATGAAATCACAATGACCTGTATCCAAAAACAAGAAGAGTTAGATTCTCTAAGACTCTAGGAAAAAATTAAAAGCCACTATATAAGTGAATACAGCTCATATGTTACTAGAAATAGGGAACTGGTTTCACCAACAAACCCATATTTCATAAAGAAAAAAGAAAACTACAGACTTAGAGCGATAACAACTAACATCTCAGGGGAGTTTAAAAAGAAAATCAAGACTTACTTAGGCAATATACTAAAATTGTCACAAGAAAAAAAAACCTTCTGAAGAAGGAATTCATTAATGGAAATGAATGGCTAACCTTTTGGGTATAAGTGAAAGAAAATATCTTAAAATGTATAGAGAAAACAAATTAAAAAGAAGACAATTTTACTATTCAGCAAATAAATCCACAAACCATAAACAATATATACAAAACTAGAAGAGATCTAAATAAAAAAATCTTCTGTGAAACTAAAACTGAAGAAAATACTCCTATCTGACACATTTGCTTGATTGATATAGATCAAAAAATGAGCAAACATTATATAGCTGAACACCTTAAAAGATATGGAGAGGTTCAAAACATCCATATATATAAAATAAATACTAAACCTAGGGTTAAGGCATATATAAAGTGGCACAAATATCTTAACCTCGATTTAGAAGCAAAATGGATGACTCCAATCAGCACAAAAATGTCAAGAGCTATTTTCTCAAAATCAGAATTAAGCGATAAAGAAATCAATAATATTTTGATTGAGAGAAGCTATAACTCAGCACGACTTTTGGATACAAACAAAACATATACTAGTTTGATAGCTAGAGTATTAATTGGCACTCAAGAAAAAGCATGCTATATATCTAAAGACCCCTTTACACTAAGAAAATAAAACTTTACAGTAGTCTATTTTGCAACAAAAGAAGATAGAGATAATACATGTAAACAACATATTTTCTTACAAGGATTGCATCTTTCTTGGAGTGCTAAGTACTCTACCAACTTAGAAAAAAAGAAATCTAAAAGAGTAAGTAAAAGCTTAAGAGCAAGATATGAATATAGAAAAGTAGAAATAGACGAGGATCTAGCCACAGATATACCATCAGACACTGAATCTGTAAAATCCATCTCTACCTCTAATAGAAATTAGAGTCAACCAAACTAAAGGAAAATTAGATATTATCATAACAGAAGGATATGACAAAAAATCAATAGACCTAGTAGACATCCTACAATAGGAAGCAATAGAGAACCGATAAATCAAAGATACAATTACTACAAAAATATAAGAGATGAGTCAGAACCAGAAGTAAAAGTTTTATCTGAAAGCGACTTGCAGAAAAGGACAGATCTTGAAATAAAGGCAAAAAGAAACAGACATAACTTCCAAGGTAGCAACTATATAGCTGGGATGTCAGACACCCCTAGATGCTCTGCTACTAATAGTAACAGAGAACCAATCAATTATTGTAATAGAAGAAGAAGTTTGCATAATAGATTGCAAAGCCCTTATCCAGAAAGTAATAATGATCAATATCCCCTATGCCAGATTTTGAATAATCTCAAGCAATTAAATATCAGAATAAATATAATTGAGAAGAAAATAGGTAACCAGAATAAAGTAAGTGGAAGGTGATGAAATAATCGCTTCTAAAAAGCACCAGTTCAATTAAAGTATATCAGAAAAGAGTCTGACCCACAAAAGGAATCAAGCTCATCCTGAAAGAAAGGAGTGACCATAGAAACAATAACAGAAACTAATACAACCCTTTTCAATACAACACATATCACATTACTTGATGATTTCATTTGTATGATCAAAAAGAATACTATTAATAAACTAGACAAAGAATGAATACTATATAAGAACTATACCATTGACAACTTCACAATAGATAATACTATTACTATTGGAACATATAATGTTAGAGGCATTAATACTAGTCTTGAGCAACAAAGACTATTTAGACTCATACAAGATCTTGATATAGATATCCTAGAGATCTATAAAACTAAGCTAACAGAAGAAACAGTAGACTTTGTTTTCAACCTACAGCAAATGCATAAATTCTTTCACAGCTGTAATAATGAAAAATCCAGAGGATCTGGAGTAGGGTTTCTCATTAGAAAAAATATCGAGAAAAAGCTGAAATCAATTGAAAAAATAGAAGAACATATAATAAAAGCCAACTTTCTATCAACAAAAAGCAAACTCTGTATCTACCAAGTGTACTTGCCATCTGGGAAAGCTGAAAGTAGATGGCTACAATAGCTATTTCAAAACAAGGTTCTAGATAAGCAAAGAAACCATTTCAAAATCATAATCATGAGTGACTTTAATACAGTTGTCAACCCAATAGTGGACCGATCACCACTCACAGACAAAACAGCCTCAAGACATGGAAAACCTGAAATAGGTCTCTTCAACTTTCTAGAAGACTGGAATTATATAGATGTCCAAAACTCCTGGGAAGAAGAAGGGAATACTATCTTCATATGGGTAAATAGCTCAGCACACAACAGAATAGACTATATCTGGATACCACCAAAAATTAGCTGAAACAATATATACAAGTTCAAAAACATTCCAGTAGAGACACTACTGAGTAGTAACCATATCCTGTTATTAACAAGAATGATAACAAATAATCTGTTCAAAAATTAGGTACAAGAGCAAGATAGAACAAAAGATAAAAAAATACCAGATCCAGGCAACTCCACTGTGGAACAATGGGAGAAATTCAAACTCTGGATAAAACGCAAACTTTCAGAAATTGATACACAGGCCTCCTGGCATGAAACTGAGAACAACCCTTAAGAACTTGAAAAGGCTTGGCAAGAACTTGAAACCATAATTATTAAGGGTATATACAGGTGTCTCAAGAAGAAAAGAATATATTTCACTTTCAACAAAAGAAAAGAAGTTAAGATGGAATCAATAATCCAAAAGAAGGATTTTGAAGCATACAGAGAAGCCAACAAGATTCCCTTTCTTCTAAAAAAATTTCAAGTTAACTGGGATATGAAGACCATGGAAGACATGAAAAATATAGAGAAGACCATTTAGAATCTACAATGCACTTATGAATTCCTTGATAAAGAACTAACATCTCCTCAGTCGCAAGAAGAGATTTCAGAGCAATTGAGAAAAATCACTAAAATAAAACATACCCTCAGAATGATATGCAAGAAAAAAGAAAGTCTTCATATCAGAAATCAAATCAAGGAGGATCTAGATAACAGATGTAATGATCTTAGATCCTACCAGAAGCGAATGCTGGGCTTAGTCTTAAACTATAAAAAACCAAGAATTACATTAGATCGGGTGCTAACCACAAATCAGGAAGGAAAAGAATATATTGTCACTAATCCTCAAACCATCAGAAACAAGGTTGAAGAATATCACAAAAGGGCATTCAAAAAAAGAAATATCAACTTCGATAATCTAGATTCCTCCTGAAAAAAAGAATACCAACCCAAAGAATGGATTGATTCAACTTAGTATTCACCTTTAACAGAAGAAATCAAAGTAGAAGAGCTTGAAGTTACTTTGCAATCTCTCCTATACAACAAAGCTGCTGGCCCCTCATATATTAACTATGAAATATTCAAATATTTAGGGATCAAAGAAAAAGGAACTTTATGTCTTCTTTTTAACAAAGTTTTAAATACAAGTCGAATACCTAAGAAATGAAAAAGTAGTAATATCTATTCCATTCCCAAATTCAAGCAATACAAGACCCATCATCCTCTTGAAAACAGCTCGAAAATACTTTACTAAGATTCTTATCAACCAACTACCAGCTATTTGCAAGCAATAAAAAATCTTAAAAGAACTAAACTTTGCCAGGTTACAGGAAGAGAGTACAGCAGAGCCTATCTATCTGCTAAACAATATTTGTAAAGAGGCTAGAGAAAAGCCAAAAGAACTATGGATCCTATTTCAAAATACTGCAAAGGCATATAACACAATATCCCTGTTTCTGCTTGAAAAGGCCATAGATCAGATTCGAATTCCTATATCTATTAAGAAACTTATAATAGACCTCTTCAAAGACAGAAGCTGTAGTATCATCCTTCCAAATAGATTATCTAATCCAATAGTGGTAGGGAATGGGATAGATCAAGAAGAAACAATCTCTTTATTATTAATCGAATATATTTTTCCATCTTCAACTTTGAAAAGTGACTTGTATGCTTTTTGCCAGTGCCAGTATCATAGCTGCCAGGTTTCCTTTTATCAGTTTGTAAAAGTTGATGGAATTGCTTAGGATATTACCTGGCTCCCAACATTTGATTTGACTTTGTTTCAGTCTAATTATGGTAGCAATACCAGAGGTCTCATTATTATTAAGTTGATAAAAAAGTGCAGATATGTGACTTTTTAGCTGTATCTTTCAGATACTTTTGAGACCATATATTTCTTTATTATAAATACAGCTATTTGGGATCATTCTACAGACTAGTGCCTTGTTCTTGAATACTTTCCTAAACATGGCTGTGAGATCATTACATGTTTTCTCACTCAGGTGCATGTGTTGTGTTCTGTATTCTATTCTTGGAATCAAGACCCTATTAATAACATCTCAGGCATGTTTTTCTGTTAACTTCTTCTTGGCTATTGCCTGAACTACTGTCCTGATCTCTGATTTTATAAGACTGGTTTTTTTGTTTCAGTCCTAACCAAATATCAAGAAATCTAGCCTGGTCCTCCTTATTGATTTCATGGACTATAGTATCCTCTGTTCCAGCCTGAACAGTCCCAGAGATTTGTGGATTTCAGTTAATAATAAGGAGGATTGACTTCTCTGCATTGATCTAAGAGTCATTTGCTATATAGAACTTTTTCACTTCTTCCAGGATCTTTTTCAGGTCTTCCTTGGATTTGGCAATTCAGGTTATGTCATCCATATAAGCAATTACTGTCTGCCTTAAGGAGAGCTTCATATTCTCTTCCGGTTTACTAAAGTTAGGAGACCATTCTTCTCCTATGGAATAACCCAGGTTGCTGTTGTTTTGGATCTTACATAAAAGTGGATCATAGAAGATTCTTCATAATAATAGAGAAATCATTTCTCCTTGATCTATCCCATCCCCTGCCACTATTGGATTAGATAGTCCATTGAAAAGAATAATACTATAGCTTCTATCTTTAAAGAGGTTTATTATGAGCTTCTTAATAGTTGTAGAAATTCGAATCTAATTCATAGTCTTTTCAAGCATGTGCAGGGATATTGTATTATTATTATTATTATTATTTTTTTTTTTTTTTTTTTTTTTTTTTTACCCTCTGTCAGGCTAATTATGTGTACTTTATTAAATATTAGTATACTATACATATAAAATGAATTGCTAAAGCTAAATCTCTAATTAACTCACTTATTTTGATTATTACTACTCTAAGTACAACTTCAGGAGTAATTTATCACTCTATTAGTAGCTCAGGAGAAAACCCTTCCAACTATTAATTTCATTACCTGCAGATCACTACTGCAGAGCAGGGATATTGTATTATATATCTTTGCCGTATCTTGAAATAGAATCTATAGTTCTTTTTTCTTTTCTCTAGCCTCTTCACAAATGTTGTTTAGCAGGTAGATAGGCTCTGCTATACTCTCTTCCAGTAGCCCGTCAAAGTTAGGTCCTTTTAATATTTTGTATTGCTTACAAATAGCTGATAGTCAGTTGGTAAAGATCTTGATAAAGCATTTTTGAGTTGTTTCTAAAAGAACTATGGGTCTTATATTGCTTAGATCGTATTTCCAAGGCTTGGGTTTGGGAATGGAATAGATATTGCTACTTTTCTATTTCTTTGATATTCGACTTGTGCTTCAAACTTTATTAAAAAGAAGATATAAAGTTCCTTTTCCTTTGATCCCTAAATGTTTAAGTATTTCATAGCTGATATATAAGGGGCCAGCAGCTTTGTTGTTTGGGAGAGATTGCAAAGTAGCTTCGAGCTCTTCTACTTTGATTTCTTCTGTTAAAGGTAAATACCATGTTGGTTCGATCCATTCTTTGAGTTGATATTCTTTTTTTCAGGAGGGGTCTAGATTCTCGAAGTTGACATTTCTCTTTTTGAACATCCTTTTGTGATATTCTTCAACCTTGCTTCTGATAGTTTGAGGGTTAGTAACAATGTATTCTTTCCCTTTCTGATTTGTGATTAGCAACCAATCTAATGTAATTCTTAATTTTTTATAGTTTAAGACTGAGCCCAGCATTTGCTTCTGATTGGATCTAAGATTATCACATCTGTTATCCAGAGCCTCCTTGATTTGGTTTCTGATATGAAGACTTTCTTTTTTCTTGCATATCATTCTGAGGGTA